TCTTGTTGCTAAATTAGATAAGATAGAATTGTTTCATAATTTTCTTGTTGCTAAATTAGACAGACAATGTTTATTGACGGACTCTTAGGTCCAGATAAAACATATATAAAACAACAAAACATTAAAAACAATTAATGAAACAAAACAGGTAAAAACAAATAGAACATTTAAAAATGATAAAAGCATTTAATTAAATAAAAATCTAAATCTAATTAAAAAACTTACTATAAAGATGTTCCACAGAATTAAGAGTGATTGATTATTGAAATATTTTTTCAATTAAAAAAATATATTGAGATTTGAAATTAAACTGAGCAAAACAAAAACTTTATTATAAAATCCACATTTGAAGTAAAGATTACCAAACAATTTTAAGATCGTCAATAGTATATTGGGAATAATATTAATCCTTAATAATGTCTCTAGACTCAATGCAATTCCAATAAAAACTGACTTTTATTGTATGACTCACTGACCAAACGATTTTTTTTTTAAATCCACTAAATCATCACAAAATTCCCTGAATATTCTCACATGGCAATGTCAACATGTGGAATAAAATGCTGTTGTTTTTAAATCAGTAGATTCAAAGCTTTTTTCAAGAAAAAATTGGTAAATTTAATTTTAATGGTTATGCCCAAAATTTAAATATTCATAAAAAAAATTATGCTTTTTTGTAAAATCTGTTAATAATTCTCAGTTCACCATACGTACATGTGGAATGTTATTAAGGTTAATATTTACTCTTTATCTAAAAACCTTTCTAACAAAAATTATTTACTTTTTTATTCAACAATACTGAAAAAGCAACATTAATTGCCGATTGGAGGGCGACCCGCACCTACGGAAAGCACCGTCCGTGTGGAGACTTCTCAGACTGGGACGTTACTCGAGGTGAATCGTAAGCTGGACAATGTTCTAGCTGCGATACCGGTATTAGTGCGCAAAATGGTATTAGTGCGCAAAATGGATGTCATCTCGGAGAGAGTCACCGGATGGTAGGGACAAGTTTAAAAACCCAAAATTGGCTTCACTGAAGGACTGGAATGATCAGTTTAAAGATTGAAGGCAGAGAGGAAAATTATCTCAGCCTGGCCCAAACAAATTCTTGTTATCTGAATCTGATGCCCTGGTAGCCTTGAGCGGCGAGCAAATAAAACCCCCACGAAGGAATGCAGACAGATGCTGTGAAAACCCGACATGGAACAGCAGTACCTCAGGAGGTGGAGCGGGTTTGTCAGTAATTGGAAGGATGCAGGTTTGATCCTGACTCTGACCAGAGAATGCTGCTGTTGTGTCTTTGGGAAAGACACCTAACCCGACTTGCCTGCTAGTGGTGGTCGGAGAGAGCGCACAGAATTTGACATTGTGTCATTAGCCCAATTTTCAATAATTCCACAACTGTCTATCACAATGACTTACCTTCATCTATAGATAATATGTACCAAGTTTCAGGTTGATTCAATGAAAAACGACGGATTGGTGATTAAAATTAGATTTCGCGTTTTTCTAGCAAAAAATCTAGTTAGGCGGAAATGGATGTGGCCAATAAAAAACATGCTAAATCATCCAAGGTTCAAGCAAATATACTTATGGTTTGGGAGTTATTAGCCAAAACGCTATGACCTTTGCAATAGCACTACCTAGGTGTTTCTGGGTATGAATTATCAAATCTGTGTAGCAGTAGGAACCCTAAATAATAAATAATATTTAGGGCTTTATTATCATTATCGGGCTAGGAACCCTAATAATGAGGTTGCTTCTGCTCTTAGATTGGACTGTCATGTCAACTCAGTAGTTCGGTCTTGCTTTTTTCAGTTAGGCCGCCTTATCAAACTTAAGCCTATTCTTTCCAGAACACACTTGGAGTGTGTACTCCATACGTTTGTGATCTCTAGGCTTGACTATTGTAACTCCCTCTATGCGGGGTTGGGTCAGACTATTGTGCATCGCCTGCAATTAGTGCAGAACAGTGCTGCTAGGTTTTTGACTGGAACTAGGAAAAGGGACCACATTTCTCCAGTGCTGGATTCTCTTCACTGGCTCCCAGTCTCATACCAGGCACAGTTTAAAATTCTGCTTTTTGAGTTTAAGTATTTCCAAGGCAGTGCCCCCACCTACTTAGCGGAGCTCTTAATGAAGCATGTTCCCTCAAGGTCATTACGGTCAGCTGACCAGAAATTGCTTATCGTCCCTCGCACCTGATTTAAGACTCGAGGTGATCTGGCTTTTCAAGTCTTTGCACCCTCTCTCTGGAACCAGCTCCCACTCACAATCAAACATTCCCCATCACTGGCAGCCTTTAAGAGCAGGATGAAAACTCATTTTTATAGGATGGCTTTCTCCTAAAGCTTTTGGTTTCTGGATTTTATTTTTTGTTCTTAGCTTTCTTTAACTAATTAATTTAACATTTCTTTTGTCTAAATGTTATCTTATTGGCATTTTATTGTTCTCACAAATGTCTATGTTCTTATTTTGTTTTTAATGTTTTTATGACTTGCTATATTTATCTTTGTTACTTTTCTTGCCCAGCGCCTTGGGCCCCCATTTGAGGGTGATGGAAAGCGCTATATAAATAAAACTTGATTGATTGAAAAATCCATACAAAACAATAGTAATAACTAGGGATGAGCGAGTACACCACTATCTGTATCTGTATCAGTTCAACCAACTAAATTATCTGTATCTGTACTCGGAATGGGCATGGCATAACCCGGAAGTGGGCGTGATTTAACCGGAAGTGGGTGTGGTTTACATCAATATATTATTTTAAGTCTGAAATTGATAGGGACTGATCAGAAGTTGATATGTGTATTGTTTATTTGAAAACTATTTACAGAGCAGCCTCAGAATTGAGATTAAATATTTTGATCACAATAGTAAAGGAACTTTTACAGAACAAGTGTTTCAACAAAATCAGAACATTAATATTTAAGTGCATGAATTAATACATCTGAACTCATGCAGTAGGAACTAGGGGTTGTATGAACTAGTCGACTTCACTGCTCTGTAGTGACTTTTTATGCCTGTCATCGACTAGTCGCTGTCACGTGATAATGACCGATAAGATGCAGTCCTCGGAAAAGACAGCAGGTGATGAGCCCCTGCGTCGGGAGGCGGAGGCAACGCGCTGTGCCAGAGCGTCGGTACTGACACCCGCCGTAAAACGGACATTTAACCAAACTGTGACCTTTTCCCTCGTGCAATTTTACCTTCCCCTCACCCCCATCCTAATCTTAACCAGTTTGCACATGCAAAGCTCTGATTGTTGACGCGGTCCAGACATCTGCGTCCTGAGCACGGCCACAGTAACAATATCAAATCAGGTGTCGCCACCTCAAAAACTAATTTAACACGATCGTTCATGTCGGCTCATTTCCTTTAATGTTTTCTGTCTGTTATTTGTGCCTGATGCGTTTCGCTGCTGCAAAGCGAGGTGCATTTAGTCCTCCGGTGACGCACCCCTAAAATTCCACTATCTCCGCTCCGCTTCGGCACGAACTCCGCAGCAAAAACGGTCCCATTGTAGTCGGCTGGCGAGCAGCAGCGCTCCGCTGTTTTTGCGGTCGGTAGATCTTTTAGAACTGCAGTTCAAAGGTAACTCATGAGGTGAATATATATGAACCCAGGTAGCAGTTTCTCTTTAGGATTGAGAGGAGATGCAGGAAGATAATAAACAGACAGGACAGAAAAATAGTCAAATAAAAACAAGTTAGTTTTTGTACCTGCTGGTTGCAACAAACAGACACCATTGAAGGTCATCAGAAGTGAGGAACAGAAAATGAAATAATTATTTTAATGTTTAGAGCAGCAGGAACTCCGAGAGGCTGCAGGTGCATCAGTGAGTTTGCGGCCGCTGCGCAGGGGGAGGGGGGAGAGGGCTGAAGCAGGGGGAGGGGGGAGAGGGCTGAAGCAGGGGGAGGGGGAAGAGGGCTGAAGCAGGGGGAGGGGGGAGAGGGCTGAAGCAGAAACTACCGTTGTTAAAAGAAATGTGTTTAACTTAGAAAATGTGGGCGCAATTTTAATGGTCAAAAACTCCAGCGAACCTACCGACACCCCCCCCCCCCCCCCCCGCCTCAGGTGTATGACGCCATCAACGACTAGTCGAAGTCGACTCGTTTTCATTACTTGACTGTTGACTTTTAAAAAAATTAAGTCATGCAGCCCCAAGTATGAACTAGGAAATATGAAATGCTAGAACCAGACACAACTTTATATATATTTTTTAATTTTTATTTGATTAAACTGATTTTTTTCTTAACGTTCTTGGCATTCTCCCACACAAAGTTAAACAAAACAATGTGGATTAAGGTGTGTGTGTCTGAGAGAGATAGAGAGGGTGAGAGGGAGAGAGAGGGAGTAAAAATAAAAATAAAAAACCCGACCGGAGCGGAGGTAGTGACTGATGCAGCACGTCAGCTCTCTCTTGTCAAATGCACCAGGTAAGTTACGAAAAAAGTAACTTTAAATATTCAACCGAAAAAGAGGCGAGCTGAAGAAAACCTAGGGGAAACTGAAGAAACGTGAGCAACAGTGAAGCAATCACAGCGAGATCCGTTACTGTCTGTGTGTGTGCGTGGATGAGCCGGACAGACTGAGCTCCCTGCCGGCTGCAGAGTTTTGTGTGTAGGGGGGGGCGGGCGCTCTATGTGACTGGCCAATCACACAGCGTGAAGACAGTCAGTTACCCAATGAGGATTTTCCTTCAGCACGATTACAGATATTTACCAGTTTTACTCGTTTCATGCTCATATTCGTCAAAAATGCTTTATCCGTACCGGATACTCATCTGAAACGAGTATCCGGCTCATCTCTAGTAATAACAATAATAAAACTAATAATAAAAGTAAAGAGGCCACTTGGTTGGTGCATAACAGTAAGGGCCCTGCCTATTCTACAGGCCCCTTAATAAAGTCAATTAATGTCCAAATTCAGCCTGGTGCATAAAAAGCCTGCTGCAGGCAGGTCCCTTAATAATAATAATCTGTTGTGTTGCTCAC